TGAATTTCCTGCTATAATCTAATCAAAATATCCAAATATTTTCTCGAAATAAGGCTATGTAGCTACTTTAACCTCCTTTAAACCTTCATAAAATGAGAAGAAATTATAAATAAAAGTAAGATTAGCTTCAACCTCACTAGGAATAGGAGGAACATATCTACCGTTGTTTGTATCGCAATAAATAACATCAGTTAATGAATAAGCATCATCTACACTTGATATTGTTTAGTTAAAGATTTGAGTCAACTGCTATAAAGTTTATGACATTTATGAGTTAACAAAATTATAGACTTGAGTCTTTTCTTAATGATAATCATTTGAATATTTTCCATAGTTAGGACAAATATCTTAAGCTAAAAATATGAAATCTGTTTATGTGCTGATAACATGGACAGGCAATACCTATTAATGATATTAGATTAAAACCATTTAAAAAATAAAATAGATATTTTACAAGCACAGAATATACTTGGACTGATGTTCAAATGGGTGAACTTTTCACATTCATCCAAGGAAGAGGATATCACAAAATTTTATATCAAGGTATTAATAAAGAATTGGTGCCTTAAGCAGATAAGCACAGCGACTTTTTAAACGGTATTGCCTTGTAAGAAATTGATTAATACGATGTTAAATAAGTATAATCAGTTTATAAAGGAGCTACTTCATTTATTGCTATCACTGACAATGTAATTTAATTAGATTAAAATATTCAACCCACTTTAATATTTAATTGCGATATTAGTTTTTTATTTCAAATGAAAGTTTAATTAGTGGCTGGAATTAATTTGATAATTTTTTTATAGACCATCTAATTATTAAAGCATATTTCTCAATTTTTTCAATTTTTATTAAAAAGAGCATTTACGGAATTGAATTATAAGAAATTCCTCCCAAGCTTGTCTGTAGAGCAGATTAGAAGAGTCAAATTGGAGAAAGCAACATGAGATTAGTTTTTAACTCAACTGATTGCAATTTAGCAACTTACCATTCACCAATTCTCTACAATGTTTGGTAGATGTGCCAAACTGATTTTAACTTCAAACTTGTTGTCCATGACATTTGGATTGATGGATAAAATGTATCAGTTGCAGGTTTAATA